AAGTTTATAGCTGCATGTTCTATATACTACTTTACATCGGTACAGTTTATAGCTTCATGTTCTATATACTACTTTACATCTGTAAAGTTTATAGCTGCATGATCTATATATGACTTTACATCTGTACAGTTTATAGCTGCATGATCTATATATGACTTTACATCTGTACAGTTTATAGCTGCATGCTCATTATACTTCTTTACATCTGTAAAGTTTAGAGCTGCATGCTCTATATACGACTTCACATCTGTTCAGTTTATAGCCGCATGCTCTATAAACCAATTAAAACCTTTGCAGTTTATAGCTGCATGATCTATATACGACTTTACACCTGTACAGTTTATAGCTACATGCTCTATATACGACTTTACATCTGTACAGATATAGCTGCATGCTCTATATACTACTTTAAATATGTACAGTTTATAGCTGCATGTTCTATATATGACTTTACATCTGTACAGTTTAAAGCTGCATGCTGTAAATACTACTATACATCCTACAGTTTACAGCTGAATGCTTTATTTACGACTTTATATCTGCACAGTTTATAGCTATAAACTATAGCTATAGCTGCATGCTCTCTTTATGACTTTACACCTACACAGTTTATAGCTGCATGCTCTATATACGACTTTATACCTATATCGTTTATAGCTGCATGCTTTTTATACGACTATACAGTACTGTACTTTTTATAGCTGCATGCCCTATATACTACTTTATAGCTGAACAGTCGCTGGACCCTGAATAGCTAATTAGTTCTTCCAATGCGGATGTGCAGTATTTGTGGCATCAGTCTATATCATTGCAAGAAACTTTGTCTTTAAAGCAGCACGCCTCCAGATTCATGCTTATTTTCAAAAAAAAATTGAAAATGAATTTAAATGTGAAATATGTGAAGTAACCAAAAGGAAGCAATATACACATTTTCAATTGCACTAACAAACCACGTAAATTACCTAAAATGTGGTCAAAATATGCCTATATGGCCTTAAATGCGTTAGTAAAGCAATAGAAATATAGTTGTAGATACTGCAAAATCAGTCATTAATCGCACATAATATGTAAAATATATATTGAATCTTGAAGCTTTTTACTTTTCCTTACATCTTAGTACATTTTTCTCAAGTTTGATTTTATGAAATATTTTGACTCATCTGGAGGCATGTAGCTTTAACTTAGTCAAGGAAAATGTTAACATCCACAACACATAAAAGGTTGACATATCTAATATCTGAAGTAAATTCCTTAAGATGTACAAAGTATGATTATTTTATTTTTTTTATTTTTTTATTGGGTTTTACGTCACATCGACACAGTATAGGTCATATCGTGACGTTCCAGCTTTACTTGTGGAGGAAGACCTCAGGTGCCCTTCTGTGCATTATTTCCGGCATAAACGGGCACCTGAAAGTATGATTGAAACGAAATATAACTGCATAATAACTATCACATAAACCATGGCGCAGGAGCGTAATAAAGTCATTTAATAACAAGAATTATCTGAGGACAGTAACGCTCCACTATTCGAAAAAGTTGTCACAAGGGTGTCTCATTGAGTATGATAATGCTTACCTATATGAAACATAAAATTGTCCGAAAAGGTACAAAGGCTTGTTATTAAGATGTTATATCGAGTAAATCACTGCTTTGTTATTACGAATGCATAAAATTTTCCCAATAAAGGCACAAATCTTTCAGTAGTTATGGAGATACCAGCTTAAAAGCAAAACCTTTACCAAGAATTTCTAAGCCGAAAAAGGGGAAAATATGAAAACAACAAATCAAGAGTTATGGGACTTGTGCCAATCATGCAAGATAATCACACACAAAAAGTGTGTGAAGTTTCAATCCATTCCCATTAGTAGCTATGGAGATACCAGCTAACACGCAAAAACTTAACCAAGAATTTCTAAGTCGAAAAAGGAGCATAATTATGCAAAAAAAAGCAAATCAGAGTAATGCAACTTGTGCCAATCATGTTAGATAATCAAAGAGACCAAGTGTGTGAAGTTTCAATCCATTCCCTTCAGCAGTTATGGAGATACCAGCATACACGCAAAAACTTAACAAAGAATTTCTAAGTCGAAAAAGGGGCATAATTATGCAAAAAAGCAAATCAGAGTTATGTGACTTGTGCCAATCATGTTAGATAATCACAGAGAACAAGTGTGTGAAGTTTCAATCCATTCCCTTCAGTAGTTATGGAGATACCAGCTTACACGCAAAAACTTAACCAAGAATTTCTAAGTCGAAAAAGGGGCATAATTATGCAAAAAAAGCAAATCAGAGTTATGCGACTTGTGCCAATCATGTTAGATTATCACAGAGAACAAGTGTGTGAAGTTTCAATACATTCCCTTCAGTAGTTTTTGAGATACCAGCTAACACGCAAAAACTTAACCAAGAATTTCTAAGTCGAAAAAGGGGCATAATTATGCAAAAAAGCAAATCAGAGTTATGTGACTTGTGCCAATCATGTTAGATAATCTATGAAAACAAGTGTGTAAAGTTTCAATCCATTTCCTTCAATAGTTATGGAGATACCAGCTTACACGCAAAAATTAACCAAGAATTTCTAAGTCGAAAAAGGGGCATAATTATGCAAAAAAAGCAAATCAGAGTTATGCGACTTGTGCCAATCATGTTAGTTTATCACAGAGAACAAGTGTGTGAAGTTTCAATACATTCCCTTCAGTAGTTTTTGAGATACCAGCTAACATGCAAAAACTTAACCAAGAATTTCTAAGTCGAAAAAGGGGCATAATTATGCAAAAAAGCAAATCAGAGTTATGTGACTTGTGTCAATCATGTTAGATAATCAATGAAAACAAGTGTGTAAAGTTTCAATCCATTTCCTTCAATAGTTATGGAGATACCAGCTTACACGCAAAAACTTAACCAAGAATTTCTAAGTCGAAAAAGGGGCATGATTATGCAAAAAAAGCAAATCAGAGTTATGCGACTTGAGCCAATCATGTTAGATAATCACAGAGAACAAGTGTGTGAAGTTTCAATACATTCCCTTCAGCAGTTTTTGAGATACCAGCTAACACGCAAAAACTTAACCAAGAATTTCTAAGTGGAAAAATGGGCATAATTATGCAAAAAAGCAAATCAGAGTTATGTGACTTGTGCCAATCATGTTAGATAATCTATGAAAACAAGTGTGTAAAGTTTCAATCCATTTCCTTCAATAGTTATGGAGATACCAGCTTACACGCAAAAACTTAACCAAGAATTTCTAAGTCGATAAAGGAGCATAATTATGCAAAAAAAGCAAATCAGAGTTATGTGACTTGTGCCAATCATGTGAGATAATCTATGAAAACAAGTGTGTGAAGTTTCAATACATTCCCTTCAGTAGTTTTTGAGATACCAGCTTACACGCAAAAACTTAACCAAGAATTTCTAAGTCGAAAAAGGGGCATAATTATGCAAAAAAAGCAAATCAGAGTTATGCGACTTGTGCCAATCATGTTAGATAATCACAGAGAACAAGTGTGTGAAGTTTCAATACATTCCCTTCAGTAGTTTTTGAGATACCAGCTTACACGCAAAAACTTAAACACAGGGACGCTGACAAATGGGTGACTGCATTAGCTCAATTATTATGCGAATAGTCGAGCTAAAAACGATATTACACTAGTGTTATAAAACTTTGACATGCGCTATATATACACATGGCGTTAAAGCGCTTATGTTAGCGTTAACTCTATAGGCATGTCTATGAAAAATGACTCCTTTTAACAGTTCTTATTTTATATATGTGATAAGTAGAATATTATATTTGTGTAGATTCAATACTAAATTTATTGAACGAGTTGAATAAAACAATATTATGCTGACCAGAGGCTCACATAATATGATTTATTCAACTTGTTTAATAAAGTTTGTATTAAACCTACACTCATTAACTATTCACTATCACATAAACTGAGGCGCGTAAGTGTAATAAAGACATTTAATAAAAACTATATTACACTAGTGTAATAACACTTTGACGTGACATCATTTGCGCTATATATAAACATAGCGTTAAAGCGCGTTAATGTTAGCAGTACACTATAGGTGCGTCTATGAAAAAAGAATCCTTGTAACAGTTCTTATTTTATATATGTGATAAATTGAATATTACATTCGTGTAGATTCAATACTAAATTTATTGAACTTATTGAATAAAACAATATTATGCTCGCATATGATTTTATTCATTTTGTTCAATAAATTTAGTATTAAAACTACACTCATTTAATATCCTCTATATAAAAAATAATCAGTGAATTATAGGTTAAGACAGCATTCTATATACTTTTAGAGCTAAAAATTACAAACAAATGTCTTGATTTTATTTCTGTTTTATTTAGTAGATTTTTCATATATAGAGACTAGCATATAAATAGTAACATAAATAGAGAATAATCTTACCTAACAGATAAACTGGCAAACGGCAAACTATGATTTAATAAATGCAAAAACATAAACTTATTTGGTGACCTGTTTTAAAAGATATCTATTATTTTCTAAAGAAAATATCCACTATACACGTAGGTGTACAAAAACAATACATATATGTAAAAAAAAAAAATATTTAAAATTTTTGAATTCATAAAAAAATCTAGAAACAAATTTAGAAATTGGACATACTGAAAACAGATATGTATTGGCTGTCATAAAAGCCAGTTTCTATAAATTTAAAATATTTCAACATTTTAACACAAAGTTTATTCTATACAGCATAGAAATACTCATATATGCAATTTTACATTTTTGATAAATATATTCATATATAACAAAAATTGTTTGTTAAATCTCTGTGTGGGTCTGTCTGTTTAGCTCAATAGATTAGAGAATCGGATAATCCAGGGGTTGCTTTTTCGGTTTGAGCTGGAGACTTCATAATAATGTCTGCTCAATTCAAATTATTTTTTAGTTTTAACATTGAACTGCATCAACCCTTCTTTCTGATCTTATTTTTACATTAACTTTGAATTTCAGGAACTCATATTGTGCAGGACCTTACATTCTATGTGGGTCATGACCTCACATCTCACCAGGAGAAGAATGTGGCAAACGTTCTGAAGATCTCACGAGGACATTCCATGCTACCGACATTTACTAATGCCCATGAGTGGTTCCATTATGCCTTCTCTAACACAGAAATTAAAGGTGAAGTAAAAAAATATGAAATATTCGTACTCACAACTTAATACTACCATTTCTGCTCAATAAAACGTTCATATTCAGCTTAAATACATGTGTATGTAGTTGCTTGGCTTTGCTGAATCAATTTGGAATATTAATGTTTTCATGCTTTAAAACAAGGCATACTTGTAGAGTAGGAAACAAAAATATGTATGATTATTTGTTTAAAGTAGCATATATAACTTTTTAAGATTATTGTTGATCACACACACACAGGTTTTGGTGCATAATGCTATCGTGAGAATTTGTTATTTTTCAATAATGTATTCTCTTAATAAAGAATCCATTTAAAAGAACATACTTTTAAATGAGTGTTTGAATACATTAAAATAATGAAAACAATATTTTGTAGATCTCGACTCATTTCCAAGAATGCAACGTGCTGGTATTGAGAGTCCATCAGATTATCGTAAACGTAAATACATGGATTATAATCATGATTGTGAGATGATATTTGCCTTACCATCTCTACAATTACAGCTTAGAACCACACATCAACAGTCAGAACAGGAACCAGTCGATGATGGTATGTCTAAAAATAGAATATATTAGTTTTTGTGGGTTTTTTTTGTTGTATGTTGATTAAAAGGTCGTGTACATAGTAATTAGTGATGGAAACAAGAGTGACTGACTATCTGTCACAGTATTTCAAAAGTCAAAGGTCAAGGTCACTAGAGATGATAACATATTCAGATATTGTCTGGAGCATATATCCTACATGCATGGAGGAATTCAATGTTATTTTATAGAATTGTTCACTTCCATGAGATGTAGTGTTCTTAGCATGAATTAGGTCTCTAGGTTTAGGTCACACATTAAAAAATTCAGGTCAATGCAACCAAGGTTCAAGGTCAAACATATAGGTAACATTTTAGATAAAATACAAAAGTATGTCATAGGAACCAACTTGCTTGCCACACTTCTTATTGCCCACATCACCACCAAAAGCTTTTGATGGGTGTATTTTGTGATTTTGTCACCTTTGTTAAAACCTAAATTTTAAACCATATATTTCTAACTATATCTAGAACATAAACTTTTCATTCCTATTTCTTATAACTCCTACAGTTGTTAACTATTGATATTAAGATACATTATTAAGTTTGAATATTACCGATTTGTGTCTTTGTTACTGTATTTAGATGAAGAACCATTTGTCTTTTTTTTCAGATCCAAAACCAGTTGTAGAGTGTAGTTTTGTGCCCGAATTTGAGGACCATATTTATGTTGCCATGGATGCAGAAGTTTTCCTATTCTTACATGACCTTGTCATGGCATATATTTCTGAAAAAGATAAAGGTAATTTGGCTGTGAATTTGTGCAATTTAACCATTCTGTCTGAGTTTTGAACATTTTTAATCTAGGAAACACCTTTTTTCAATGGTTATTACATTGCTAGCATAGATAATTACACTGGTGACATAGGCAATATCACTTGTGGATTAGGTTATTACACTGATGGCAAAGGCAATTACACTAGTGACATAGCTTATTACATTGATATCATTGGTTATTCTGTTGGTAGCATGAGTGATGACACTGGTGGCATAGGTTTTTACAATTATAACATTGGTTATTATATTGTTAGCATACATGTAGGTTATTATACTGGTGGCATAGAAAATTAAACTGGTGGCATAGAAAATAACTTTACCGACATAGGTAAGTCATTATGGTCACTCATGCTAGATGGGTATGTTTCTTTTAATTTAATAGCAGATTATTTTATATTCTTATTGTACAACCCCTATGAGAATTGACTGTAATATAATTATGGAAACAGCATATTTATTGTAGAGATTCATCATGATAATAAAATTCGAATGATTTAAATGATATATGCTATTATCAATATAGGTGCTCGTTCATCAGTAGCAGGGACATGTGGCAAGTCGGCAAAGAAAAAGGAAATAATTGATCCAGTAATCGTGTTACAACAAGACTGGCGAGAATATGAATGTAAAACATGGCACATGGAACCAACTGTCAGGTATGGTTACTATAAGTATTGTTACTAGCCTCTGGCCCAATTTTCAGAAAGGGATCACGATCAAATTCTATGTCCACTGTAGTATTTCTAGAGCTGTTGCCCTTGAATTAGTAAAAATTGCAATTTTCAACATCTCAAAATGTTTTTGGCCTAGAGCCATGCAACTTAACTGACAAGTTGGTCAGCATGTGTAGTGTTTTGCACTTGGGGTTTGAGTGTGGATTAATTCAGTATTTGTAGAGTAAATGCCCTTGACTAAGTAAAATCCATTTCAAAATGTTGTGTTATGGGTATTGAGTGCTTGAGTTAGAATCAACCAACTTTACAGGAATGATGATCAACATCACTGTGATGCTGTGCACCTGGTTTTCTGCATGTGGATTTTTCAGTTTTGTTTGAGTTATTGTCCTCGACTTAATATAAATTTGCCATTTTCAAGTTGTTCATAGCATACAGTGTAAAAAACTATTTTTAAATTGTTTTTTTAGCATATTGAATATTTCTATATTTCATTGGTGTTTCTTAAAAAAAAACACTTGAATCTCTAGTATTGAACTTAAAAGTTAAATACCTGATCTCCTCTTTGTATTATTTCTGGAAAAACTTCCTTATGCTTAAAATGTTTACCTTTTGAAGTGAGAAAGTACTTAGGTATTTGGTTTTAATGAAGGAAATGAAAAGTAATAATGAAGATCTCCTGTTGGCCATTTTAATAACACTTTTGTATTTATTTTCAGACTTCTTCACTGGGCCAGTAAGCAGATAGATCCTGTTGGTGTGGATTATATTCTTCAGAAGCTTGGTTTTACCCATGCCAGAGTTACAATACCTAAATGGATGCAGCGAGGTTTCATGGATCCGTCTGATAAAATTCTTTCCATGCTTGTTAACAAAATGATAGTCATGTTACGGGATGCCCCTAATGCAGAATCTCCTAAAAAGACTTGAAGTAACATGATGAAGTAACATAATTAAACAAAAGTGTTTACATGATGATGAGACATTATTGTATTATGAAGTAACATGATTAAACCAAGATATGACCACCGGAACTTATAACATAATTGTTCATCTTTCCAGTGAACCAGTTTAATTTTATCTTGGAATGTTCATGTGCACGGTGAAGAACCATAGTTTTAAAGAAAAGCAACAGGATACCTAAATATTTCCTGTAACAAAGAAATAATTGTTTATTTGATCAGCTTTTTAAGTAGTTTTATGATAAATTGTCCCTATGATTATTGTTCAGTCATGAAGTAAAGATAACTTTTGTAAGAAAGAAGTACCATGATGTTATGTGTCATGTTAGTGAAATATAGTTTATGTGAATGTAGATAAAGTGAATCATTTGTAAAATAAACAGACAGTATATTTAATCTCTATGTTGTATATAGAAAATTTTAATCTGAAAGTGCTTTTAAACGATTTTATTTTGGACATGTAAAAAGGTATTGTATCTCTAAATTATAACGATATTCAAGGACTGAATCAAGGATTTTATTGATATTTTAAGAAACAAATGTATTCAGGAATTATCATTCTAGTTATAAAGATTTTTCACATGATATATGACTTAGTATAACCAGTTATAATCTTACAATTAATGAACCACAGTACAATGATTATATAGCAAATTAAACCAGCTGTGTATAATTATGGATAATACAATTGTCCAATTAAAATTGATATTACAATCATGCAGTATTATAATATGTATCTACAAAATTTGTATTCATTATTTTAAATTGTCTTTCTGATAACCCAGTAGTAAACTGGTCTGTGGTGTGACTTGAATTCCTTTGAACATGACATAATTTTACTAGGTGTTTATAGGGTGTAGATGTATGTAAATGTAATAACATTCTAATTAGAGAAATTATATGGCAAAAAAACTTATTAAAAGTTAATAGATTTTGAAATATGCCTTTTTGGAGAACATGTTAGAAAAATATACATATAAATCAAACAATCAGGCGTAATATTTTTGTTTTACAGCCTTTGTCTTTGACTTTGTACGACGTCCCTCGTATAAATCACACAATTAGGTTTAGATGATGTGATAGAGTAGCTGAGAATCATGTTAATGTACATGTACTTGTATGTGATTGTAATTGAATGATACATGCAGCTTTTTTGTTTGTTTGTATTTACTGTTTTCAAAGCAATCCTCGAACACTTAACATCAGACATTTGTTTTCTGTTAATTCAAATTATGTTTTTATAAGTAGTATGTTTTTTTTTCACTATTATATTGTTTGTTTTTAAAGATAAAGATTGTAAGTGTTGTGGTTTTACCTTAGATGTTACTTTTCCATTTGCTCAATAAATCATTATGTTATTTCTGCATAATATTCAGTTTCATACCGTTTATAACATGTAGTAATTATATTTATTGTGTAGGTTATTTTCGTATTTTGTTTGTAATAAGGAAATTCTATTTATAGCAATTGTATTTAAAATATTTATTAAGTGTTCCCTGCTTAATTCTTTCAATGAATTTATTATGTTTTAAAATTTGAGCAGTCTGTTTTGGAATTTAAGGAATTTCATTAAAAAAAAATAAATATAAAAATAGAGTCTGGTAGATTTTCAGAGGAGGCATTACACTGTTGACTTACTTATTTTAATTTTAATCATGATACCCCTTATTTGACAATGGACAGTTCCAGAAAATGGAATTTAGACCAGTCCATTAAAGACTTCAGTCGGATAAGGGCCGGTGATTTCTTCTTAAATATAGAAAATGAAAATCAATGTTTGAAGTGAAATTTGCAATGTTTGTTCTTTCTGTTTTGGGGTTAAATTATTGGAAAGTCTATTATAATTTTACAATTGTAAATAAATGGCTAGGCTCTCTTTGTACATATGAAATCTGCATATTTTAAAAACTATATTCGTAGTTTGGTTGTATTGTTTTATTTTATATTTTCGTGATATTGCAAATATCAGAAATATGTCCTGGTTTATATTCTGAAGTCGAGGATGGCTGGGGTAACAAGTATATACCTGTCAAAGTGCAATACTGTATAGATTTTAAGACTTCTGGTTTTTTGTTCTGTCATGCTTTATATTGGATTTTTTTTCTGTTTGTTATATGATTCCATTTGCATTTATTATTACCTCTAAGTAACTTTATGTTCTGTTGTGTCACAAATTTTACCATTTTTTATATATTTTTTTTTGGCTCTTAAAATTGTCCAACACAATATTTCATTGGATACCTTGGTCTTGTACAAGGATTATAGACAGTGACATTAATTTGTAAAGGGTAACTTTATTCATTCAAGATTTATATAAATTATAATCAATTTCTGTATTTAGCTGCTGCATTATCCGCTAGAAGTAATTTCAATTTTTCTGATAAATTACCATCTCCCTTGACAAAGGAGCAAATAATTAATTCTCCAGTGAGAACAAAAATAATTGCGAAAGAAAATAATTGTTTTCCTTGACAATATATACCAATTATTTTCTGCCTCAACAATAGAATTAATCATTGTCTCTCTTTAAAATACAGTATTTTAATAATCTTACTTAGCAACTGAACGAAAATCATTGTCTTCCCTAGCAACACATTAAAGTAATTGATTTATTAGCAACACAATAGATTTAGTGTCTGTCTTAGCATCACTTAGGAAGAAAGTTAAATAATCGTCTCTTAGAAAAGTTGTGCCCATGGATGAGTGGTTTATGTGGTTTACTTCAAACCACTTGCTTCTCATCTCTGTAGGTCGAATCCTGCCAGGGACTTTGAATTTTTTCATGTGAGGAAGCTATATAGCTAAAAAAAACTGTAGCCACACAATATAATTATTGTCTCTCTTTGTTGCAAATAAAAAATGATGTACGTCCTTAACAAAACAATGAAATTATTGCTTCCTTAGCAACACAGTATGACCAGATGGCAAAGGCCCTTGACTTCGAGCCACCTTCCCCTCACTGCTGTGGGTTCAAGTCCCACCAGGGACATTTGATTCTTTCATGAGATCTCCCTCTACCAGTGTAAAGCTATAATGTCGCCACATGATTGTGCTATAATGTCGCCATATGTTTGTTGCATGTTTATTTATTCTTCATTTATGTTTCGTACAAGATCAGTTTAATAACAATATACAAATGTAATGGAAAAAAGTAACTGTTATACTAGTATATCACTTTAAATTATGTTGTAATGATTATCAAATATTACAAGTTGATTTAAATACTCGACAGCTTATACCTTCATGATCTATGTATGATTTCCTTGTTATTGTTGATGATAATAAAGTCATATAATATATTGAAATTCAGAATATGTTTTTCTTTCTTTCTTTATCTTTTAAGCAGCAATAGATACAACCAGTGCAAAGCAAGACAGGAGTGTGTTGTCTAATCATAATTTGCCCTGCTGACTATTCAATCAGTTGATATGTTGATATATCATGGAAAGATTACCTACTTCTGGAAATATATAAAGGAAGGAAAAATGTCACAGTTACACAATTTATTACATACTTATAGATGAAATATTGAGAAATATTGATGAATAAAATGCGTATTTTTATTTTCTCTGGTGTCTAGACGGACTTCTTTCTTTTAATTTCTGCCAGTACACAACATTTAATGGAAAGTCTTTAAAATTGCAATGTCAGAAAAGAGGAAAATGTATATAATAAACAGAAAATTTAAGCTTTTTTCTGTAACCACATGATTTATTTTCATCTTGTGGCATGAAAATTAACATATTTCACTTGTGGCTACCGCCACTCATGAAATATTTATTTTGACACCACTCAATGAAAATAAATCGTGTATTTACAGAAAAAACTTGAATATCCACTATATATTTTTATGGTTTATGGTTAACCTTTTATATTTTTTCAGAATAATAAATTTACAGGTATGTTAACTCCATGTATTCAGAAATGTTTCTTTTTTTGTCCCAGTTTATGACAGTTTATAGATGTAAATGGTGTTATTGTTTTCATCTTCATTTGAAGTGTAACAACTGAAATACAACTTCTTTGTTTCCTCGGACCAACAAACACCAAATGGACGAATCACATCCTGCAGTAAAACCTTTCCTATAGAGCAGTCGACCGATATCTCTTCTATATCATTTCTCCATGAGTCACACATAAAGACAGTACCATCATTTGATAGTGATATTCCTCTTGGCTCACCTGTACTATAGCTACCTATTACATCACCCTGCCAGTTAAATCTTGTTACTGATTTCATCTTCCTGTCAGATACATAGATAGAACTTTTATTACATATTACATGAAGTGGTTCTTTGAAAAATATTTTTATTATCAAATGTTGTCAGTATAGTGCCATTCATTTCAAGGATCTGGAGTTTTCCAGGATAGTAGTTTGTCACAACAAATTTATCTTGGTAACAGCAAATACCATAACAGCCTCCATTCACTTTCATAGTGCGCTTCTTTTTAAGTTTGTTTGATGAGATTGATATAAACTGTATTGTTTGTTTGTGAGGAAGTGTGACAGCAAGGTCAGAACTGGTTACCGTGGTGATTCCCATGGGTTAGCATCTAGTTGTAGTTGATCAGACACAGATTGTCTGCTGGTAACCACCATCTTTACAGCTTTGTTATTGCGGTCAGTTATGATAAGAAGATCAGGAGTCAGCAGAGTCATTCCTGTTATCCAGCACATGTCTTTATCTTTTGATGTCTTCACACTGATTTCTCCCTGATGTGAAGATCGTCTAGACTTTATTTGTACAGATGGAAATTTTATTTTTAAAGTTTTTTGTGTCAATGTACCCAAAGACTTCTCTGTTTTAAGAAGATCTAATATTGCATCATTTGTTTTAAAGTTAAATTCTTTGATATCATATGATGAAAGTTGTAGTTTCTTTCCCTCCACATTTTTCAATGTTTTCTCTACAAGTTTAAGTTCCATGAAGAGTTTATCAGCTTGTTTTGATGTGTTAAGTTGTTTGATGGTATCTGATGATGTCTTCAGAGATTTCGTTATATCTTCACATGTTGTTTCTACTGCTTTCAGATGTTTGTTATTTTCTTGTTCTACGACTTTAGCTGCATCTTCAATTTGTCTCTCCAGTTCATCTAGTCTTTGGTTGATTTCTTGTCGAAACTTTCTAATATCTGATAATGCATCTTTGAGAGAGCTGTTGGACTTATTTGTCATCTTTTTGGCATCTTCCACAAACTGCTGATATTGGTAAGAAGTACTATTTACTGCTTTCAAAATATCTTGACATTCTTTGCTGTCTGTCATATTACCAGATATATCGGGTATGTAGTTTACTTTGCAGGATGTAGCTTGGTGTTCAAGGGTAACACACACACTGCAGAGTAATTCTTCATGGTCGAGGCAGTAGAACTTGATCATTTCTTTCGGGTGTTTGCAACAGGGTGTGGTAAGTTCATCAGACTGGCCTGTGTGGGTAGATGTTGAGGGTTGATGCAAAACTTTAGGCATTCTTGTTGCATCTAGAAGTGTATGATGTTTGGAAAGTTTATGCTTTAGATGGACTGTGAAACAATTCTTGCACAAATGTTCCTTGCAATCTGTGCAGTAACCATGGGCAGGAAGTCTGGTTCCTTCCTCATCACAAGGTTGACAGTAAACTTGAAGATCTTCATCTGATGCCATGGATTGTGTTGAAGATGAAAATTGTTTTGATGCTTTTTTTCCTGGGACAGCCATGTTTATCTGAAATGCATTATAAATATGTTTATTTCAGGTTTGTCTAATTTTCCTCTTTGTGAATATAATAAGAGAACTTAGGCAGTCAATATGAAACAGGGACATTAACTTCCTTACTTACTAACATATCTTATTGAGTAAACAATGATTAGGGAATATCTACAGATTATACTTTGTATACTTCTTGCATCATGGGATTTCAAAATAAATTTGCAAACATGATAACCATAAGAAGTCAAAATTGTGCTAGAACTAGGTCCGTGCCTTTCAGAGTTAAGGTTGTTTTATAAGGTCATGGTCAAATCGGTTTCAGCGTATGAATTGGCCGTAACTTGATGGATGTTGAAATATTTGGGACTTGTCTTCACCAAAGTAACACCCAAGTAAGTGCCACCCACCTCGGCAATTTTAAGAACAAGGTCTATATGGAGGTCATAGGTCAAATTTTGACTGGCTTAAAATTTAATCATTTCATGATGTCCAAACATTGGAAGTAAATATGTTGAATGGGGGTATCTGTATCATATGGACACATTTCTAGTCTACATGGTTCTTTATATAAATGCATGTACATGTAATATGTTCCTTGACAAATTAAGCTAGATTAATCATAGTGGAATATTCAACATAAAGTTTTCTTTGAAGGTTTTTGAGTTTATGGCTTTTACAATAAAAAGTTTTGATGCCTGTATTTAAAATACTGCCGTGTAGTGAGAAAAATTGGTCTGGTTATCTTAAAGCAGCACACCTCCAGATTCATGCTGATTTTTACCAGATTCATGCTGATTTTAATGAAAATGTATTTTAAAGCTACCAAAAGAATGCAATCTACACATTATCTATGGCGCTTACAACTTATGTAAATTACTATAAATAGGTCAAAATATGCAAAAATAGCCCTTACTGCGTTAGTAACGTAGTAGAAATATAGTTATACATACTGAAAAATTCGGTCATTAATCGCTTATAACATGTAAATTTTTACTAGGATTTTGAATATTTATACCTTTCCTAAAGTCTTAGTACATTTTTCTCAGATTTGATTTTATCTCATCTGGAGGCGTGCAGCTTTAAAAATTAAAACATTATTCAGTTTAAGATTTCAACAAATAAGAATAATTGTACTTTTTGTAAAATGTATATTTTTATTTATTAATTAATTAATTAATTAATTTATTTATTTATTTATTTATTTATATATATATATTGCCCAGATTAACATTTTTAAATATTTTTATGTCTCAAATAATATAAAAGATATTCATTTTAAACTTAGAATACTTGGTCACTATAAAACTTATAATCTATAAGGGTCAAATAAACCTTAATGTCATTTTTGTTAATTATCTCCCTTTTATTTTCTCTATATTTACATAATGTTTTCAAAAACCATCACAGAGATGTTTATCAGAATTATGCCTCTTTTTCAACTTAAATGCATTGATCTTCCATTCTGTCAAGTATTGTGAAAAATGGTCACACTGCTCATATTACAGCTCTTGTTACTGCTATATTTAATTACCAAAAAGGCAAGATTAAACTTGTTTAACTATCATTGTTCTAAATTACACGACAAACCGTAAAACTAAAAACATGATATCTTTCAAATGTAATTAATGCATGATTTTATTATTTAGAGAAATTTAAAAGAAATTGTACCTTTATATAATCCTCAAAATGTTTTCACAAGCTTTTTAAATCATTCCCAGTATGTTCCTCAGGTGAAATGTTGACTGTAAATATTTTCCTGTCGCTATTGGATTCTTTCATGGAATTTGAAACCAAAATTTACTTCCTTGTTCTGCAACATTGATTTTTACAGTGTATGCATTTCAAATATTGAAGTTTAAATCTTACCGATAACAATAACATATTTTGTAAATACATTAAGAAATCTATTAGATTTAATCTTTTTAAGTTTCACCCTTAATCTTTATTTCTTTCAGACTGGCAAAAGCTTTAATTATATAAACTTCAGCTAGTTTATCAGTGTGTATACATTTAATGTTTTAATGAGACTTTATGTTTGACTTAGTAAATAATGCACGGAGGGGTGCCTTATGCCTTAGCCATACAATAGAATTCTTGTCTTTCTTAGCCACACAATGAAACTATTGCCCTTGATCTGGAAGAAAAATAGCTGCATGCTCTATACACGACTTCACACCTGTGCAGTTTATAGATGCTTGTTCTATATACCACTACAAACCTGTGCAAATTATAGCTACATATTCTATATACGACTTTACAACTGTACAGTTTATAGCTGCATGGTCTACATACGACTTTACATCTGTACAGTTTATAGCTGCGTGTTCTATATACGACTTGACACCTGTACAGTTTATAGCTGCATGTTCTATATACGACTTTACATCTATACTACAGTTCATAGTTGCAAGCTCTATATACGACTTAAACATCTGAACAGTTAACAGCTGCATGCTCTATATACCACTCTACACCTGTACAGTTTATATCTGCATGCCCCATATGCGACTTTACATCTGTACAGTTTATGGCTGCATGCTCTATATAAGACTTTACACATGTACAGTTTATAGCTGCATCCTCTATATACGACTTTTCATCCGTACAGTTTATAGCTGCATGCTCTATATACGACTTAACATCTGAACAGTTTATAGCTGCAAGCCCTATATTCCACTTGACACCTGTACAGTTTACAGCTGCATGTTCTATATACGACTTTACATCTATACAGTTCATAGCTGCAAGCTCTATATACGACTTTACACCTGTACAGTTTATAGCTGCCCGCTCTATATACGACTTTACATCTGAACAGTTTATAGCTGCATGTTCTATATACGACTTTACACATGTCGAATTATAGCTGCATGCCCTTCATATTACTTTACACCTGTACAGTTTATAGCTGCATGCTCTATATTCCACTTGACACCTGTACAGTTTATAGCTGCATGTTCTATATACGACTTTACACATGTACAGATTATACCTGCATGCCCTACATATTACTTCTCACCTGTACAGTTAATAGCTGCATGCTCTATATTCCACTTTACACCTGTACAGTTTATAGCTGCCCGCTCTATATACGACTTTATATCTGAACAGTTTATATATACGACTTAACACATGTACAGATTATAGCTGCATGCTCTATATACGACTTTACAACTATACAGTTTATACCTGCATGCTCTATATACGATTTCACATCTGTGCAGTTTATAGCTGCATGCTCTATATACGACTTTACATCTGTACAGTTTATAGCTGCATGCCCTACTTACGACTTTACATATGTACAGTTTATAGCTGCATGCACTTTATACGACTTGACACCTCTACAGTTTACAGCTACATGCCCTACTTACAACTTTACATATGTACATTTTATAGCTGCATGCTCTATATACGACTTGACACCTGTACAGTTTATAGCTGCATGCTCTATATACGACTTTACATCTGAAAAGTTTACAGCTGCATGCTTTATATACGACTTAAAATCTGATTAGTTTACCGCTGCATGCTTTATATACGAATTTACACCTGTACAGTTCATAGCTGCATGCCCAATATGCGACTTTACATCTGTACAGTTTATGGCTGCATGCTCTATATACGACTTTACACATGTACAGTTTATTATTGCATCCTCAATATGCATCCTCAGTTTATAGCTGCATGCTCAATATGCGACTTTACATCTGTACAGTTTATGGCTGCATGCCCTATATACGACTTTACACATGTACAGTTTATTATTGCATCCTCTATATACGACTTTACAACTGTACAGTTTATAGCTGCATCCTCTATATACTACTTTACATCTGTGCAGTTTATAGCTGCATGCTCTATATACGACTTTACACATGTACAGTTTATAGCTGCAAGCTCTATAAACGACTTTACATCTGAACAGTTTACAGCTGCATGCTCTATATACGACTTTACACATGTACAGTTTATTATTGCATCCTCTATATACCACTTTTCATCCGTACAGTTTATAGCTGCATGCTCTATATAATACTTTACATCTGTGCAGTTTATAGCTGCATGCTCTATATACGACTTTACACCTGTACAGCATATAGATGCATGCTCGATATACCACTTTACATCTGTATAGCGTATAGCTGCATGCTCTATATACGACTTTACATCTGTAAAGAATATAGCTGCAAACACCAGTACGGTTAATAGCTGCACGCTCTATATACGACTTTACAACAGTACAGTTTATAGATGCATGCAGTCTATACGACTTTACAACTGTACAGTTTATAGCTGCATGTTCTATGTACGACTTTACATCTGTACAGTTTATAGCTGCATGCTCTATGTACAACTTTGCATCTGTACAGTTTTAGTTGCATGCCCTACATACGACTTTACATCTGTACAGTTTATAGCTCCATGCTCTATATACGACTTTACACATGTACAGTTTATAGCTGCAAGCTCTATAAACGACTTTACATCTGAACAGTTTAAAGCTTCATGCTCTATATACGACTTTACATCTGAACAATTTATAGCTGCAGGCTCTAAATACGACTTTACATCCGTACAGTTTATAGCTGCATCCTTTATATACGACTTTACAGCTGTCAAGTTTATAGCTGCATGCTCTATATACGACTTTATATCCGTACAGTTTATAGCTGCATGCTCTATATACGTCTTTACATCCGTACAGTTTATAGCTGCATCCTTTATATCACGCCCGGCAAACTGTCGCTCCACTTCAAAATTGTGGTGTACGGTAAAACGAGCGAACGGCATTTCCGAGGTAGAGCGGAAGGCCGATTTAAACGCCTAATTGTAAGTATTGTTTATGTTTTGTCTTGTTATTCATTTAAGTTGTATTTTTTCGAAAAACGGAAAATGTGGTTCCGTGTAGGATTGACTTAGGCTTCCAATTATCTAAGCTGTTACAAAAAGAAAATTATATTAAGCCCGGGAGAACTTTTCTCCCTGACGAAGCGAACGATGATTTGTAGAATATTGAACTTCCCAACC